TGTTTGTGTATATATATATACATATGTGTATGTCTATATGTATATACACGGCGATTTCATGAATAGAACATTAGTGACATGATTTGTAAGAATCGGCTATCGTGATGCTGCCGGGATGGGCGAGGTTTGCTCCAGCCGGCAAGGTGGACACCAGTGACCGGCGATGGTGCCCTTTCAAACCCGAGGTGTCCATTTTCCAGAGTGGTTCCGTAGATCTCCGCGTTCATGTTTAATGGCAAGCAGTTTTAAACCAAATGCCTGATGCGCAGGCAGAGCAATGACAATGTGTGTGATTGCACATGCTCGCATGATGCTGTGGACGGCTGGGGAGAGCTGTCGCAGTGTCCGAGGTACTGCTCCAACTGCTGGGGCGACTACGATGCTGTGCTCCCAGATTCAGCTGATTCTGGGGTTTAGAACCTGCTCGGAACGTGAAAACTGAAAAACTGACGTGCTGGTTGTAGGGCGAGTCGCAATGCTAAGCGCATATTGGCGGAGTGCTTGCTGGGCACATGGCATAGCGAGCGGCGTATTTTCATTTGGACCTCTGTCAGCAGAATGAGAGCCAAACTGTGCCATCAGTCAAAAGCGTTTTTTAACAGTCGCTCACGGAAGAGTCTTTGCGCATCCCCGAAGACCCAAAGGCACCGCAGAAGGGACCTGAGAGGAGCGGATTGCGCGGGATGCCGCACTTTGCAACATGATCAATGTGAGTTTCGATGAAGTCTTTGAAACCCAGACAACACGCCTCGGCCTACTGAGTTGCAGAGAAGGTTGCTACTTGGACACATTTCGTCGTATGCCGTCTCGTTCTACTCGAGCGTCTATTCTACTGTAATCTCAGGCATTTATGAAAAATCGTCGTGCAGTGCCTTTTCTCAGAGTATTCTACGGTCTTCCCGAGTTTTTCTGAGGCCCGAAACGCCAGGCCCCAATCCCGAAACTCGAAACCCTAAACCCGAAACCTTAAACCTGAAGCCCTAAATCTTAAACCTAAAACCCTAAACCTGAAACCTAAAACCCTAAACCTTAAACCCTAAACCCTACACCTTACACCCTAAACCTTAAACTCTAAACCCTAAACCTTAAAGGAACCCTAAACCGATTTGCTCCAGCTTCTCTGAGGCCGGCAGAGGCTCCGGGCTGCCGGGCTTCGGAGTTTTGTTCGCCGGAGGGGCTTTGGGGCGTTTCGTGGGTTTTTTGGGGCTTCTTAGCTGCCTTTTTGGGTCTTTAGGGTTTAGGGGTGTTTTTAGGGTTTGAGGCTTCTTAGCCGCCTTTGTGGGTCTTTAGGGTTTAGGGTTTAGGGTTCTTTTTTGGGGTTTGAGGCTTCTTAGCTGCCTTTTTGGGTCTTTAGGCCCTTTGGCTTGGGAAGTCAGGGGTCTGTGATGCAGGGTTTCGGCGCAGTTTCTCCTGAGAGCTCCTGCTGTAGCGGTTGCGAATGAATTGAATGTTGTTGTTTATGGTTTAGGGTTTAGGGCGTTTAGGGGGGAGCGCTGGCATGGTGTAAGGTCCTGCCAGGGAGCAAGGCAATTACAGCGCAGCACCCTGCTTCGAACTTGCCGCGATGCGTTCGTTTGCCGGAGGTTAGACAGTCCCTCAACAACTGGTATGATACAGAAGGCTTATGCTGGCGGTCCTAAACCCCGAACTACTAAGCCCCTGCGTCCTAAATCCGAAACCTCTCAACCCTAAACTGCGTGGAACCCATCTGACACTACACAAAGATAGACATTTTACAACTACTTTCTACTATTTTCCATACCATTACATGCAAATATATATATATATATGTATGCACATACACTCATACGCATACATATTTTCTTCATTTGAGTTCGTGCCTGAATCAGACGCTCGCCTTGCTAATGAATTCGGAGAACAGTGAAACAGGAAACTGGAGAGCCTTATCGGGGGTTAGTGAGCCCCTACCGCCCTATTGTCATGCCTGCCGCTTGGAGCCACTGAATGGCAGGGCCAAGCCCTTTGTGAAGCCCTTCGCGATGCACACTAAAAGGCCTGCCTTGGGCTGACACCACGTGACAATGGTCACATAAGCTTGTTCGGTCCGATCAGCAAAAGCCCTACCTAGTAGCAGCCCATAGGCTGATGCTAGTGGTGCCGTAAAAAGACAAGGTATGTGGGGGGCTTTCCAATGGCAAAGTTCCAACGCCCATCCTCAAAGGTGGTTTCAACGGGGGAGAACGAGGCAAGGGGAGTGCACAAGCTTTGTCGCAGAGACCGCCAGCGCGACGGCGCATGGCACAGCAACGTCAATCTGAGAAGGGTCTCGAGGGACTTTGCTGGATGATAGGGCGCCTTCTTCTGCGACACGAGGATCAGATGGGAATAGAGAGGAGCGAGAACAACTTCATCATGTTCTTCAAGAAGGAGTCCCCGGTGTCGTTGGTAGAACTCTTCAAGAAGAAATCCCAGCACTTGCACGAACTTCAGGAGCAGAAGACGGAGGGGCTCAATCTTCCCCTCCGAGCCTTCCTCTTTCGTACCCTCCTGGACGATCTGTTGAAGAGGTTGGAAGCCGTCTCGAAATCCCCGGATCAGCCGGCCTTCGCGGACAAGTTTCAAGTTTTCCTCCCATCCCCTTCCTCGTCTACAACCCGAGCACCAAACAATTGTATTGTCCCCTGAGCATTCTTCGCATCCACTCCAGAGGCTGAGCAATCCCATCACGCTACCTTTCCTCCTTCAGGCGGGTTCCCGCACCACGGAGGCTGCTGCCTTCTATCGACATCTTACTCTTCTGACCCACTCCGGAGCCTGGCAGCTCGTCGGGAGTTCGCTCCGCCTGGAGCACATGGATCGATCCGCCCCGGCCAACGAGATGGAAAAATTACTTCGGGCCGCGATCAGTGAACGTGCACTCCGTACTTGATCCTTTGATCTGCATAGGCAATTCCTGCAGTCACTGCTATGCCAATGCAGCCGTTCTCGCCATCAATCGGCTCTGCCTCCATCTGCCTGCCACTCAGGTGCTTGGACCAAGGCCATGCAGCCGATCATGCTGCGAATGAGTTTGCAGGCCAGTGTTCCAGACCTCTGGTCCCAGGCCACATGTGCAACATGATGTTGCTGAATACCTGGCTTACTTTCGCAGCTTCCGCATTTCCGACCCTCATCATGGAGGCTGGCAATGTCGCCTACACGAAACTGCACCCGGCACTGGGGTTTCCGAGGTCCGCGATCAAGCGGAGACATGGCCTCTGTTCATACCCATGCCTCCTTCTCAGCTTTGTATCTGACGATTCTGACAGACTGACCATACAGCAGCGTCTGCTCAGTCACTGGTACTCCCAGGCTGATGATGGTGACGCGGCTTTGAACGTTGCTCCGACTCTGCTCCGACTGCCGATCAATCGATACACTCTTGACAGTGACGGCCCTGCTAAGGATGAAACCTGCATCTATCCCGACCTTCGCATATCCATACGTCGCTTTTGTCACGGGGTAGACGGTAGACCCCCCTGCACAGGCCGTGCAAACATCCCTTTGCCATTATCTCCTTCGTGCAGTTCTCATCCACCAGGCCCCAAGCCATACGACCGGGCACTACACAGCTTTCCTCTTCTCACAGCTCTCGGACACCCTGCATCTTTTCTGTGATGACAAAAAAGTCTTACACTTCATGCCGCCGCGCCAGAGTGCATCCTGCGTGAAGGGTACGTGTTTCTTTACTTATTACCAGTTACAGCACTATCTTTGCATCGATGCAACCGGGCACTCGTGCCAGGCATCGAAAAGTCGCCACACTGGCGATCCTTCTGACCTGCTGCTTCGCACGTTTCCAATTTGTGCAAAGCACCGAGCTCAATGAGCCGGGGTGGTGCCCTGTCATAACAACCACGACATGCGAAGACCGTCCCTGCAGCGTTCGAAAGAAAGAAGTAGGTATATTGTCTTTTCACCAAACACTTTAAGCTTTTACCATATACTTTTTACCCTACACTACTTTCTATTTACTATGTACTCTATATATACTGGCTATACTATACACTAATGGCCCCCCGCTCTCAAAGCGGTGCCTTTCCGAGTTCCTGGGCCCCGTGCAGGCTCTACCGCTCTGGCGCGCCTTGGCCAAGCCTTCCAGCATCTTGCAATGTGTGTTTCGTTTCGTGGATTTAAGACTTAGCAGGTTTAGGGTTTAGGGCTTAAGTGTAAGAGGGCTGACAAGATGGGATTTTTGGATCTAAAGGGTACCGTCCATGCGATTTCCGTGAACCCTCATCCTTCCCCGTTCCTTGCTAGCTACGAAAACGATAAAAACGGCTTACGCGCTAAACCCTAAACTCGACGTTTCAATCGAAACCCTGACCCCTAAATTCAACTCCGCGGCAACTTCAGATACTGAACTGCCGTCAGCCGCGCGGATACCGGGGTTTGGGGTTCAGGGTTCAAAGTTTCAGGGTTGAGGGCTTGAGGCTTGGGTAATGCCAGCTATTCTTAAGCAATGCCAGCCCCATGATGCCACAAATTCTGAAGTCGTCGCAACTGAATGAACAATGGACGTATGACTCATATTCAATGGCAATCCAATAGCTGCAATAGCTATCAGTGGAGTATTACAGATGCAACAATAACGAATGACAGGGTAATAGTCCTGCAATAGTAATACTGGTTGTTCTCATAGTGGCAGTGGCACCAAGTACAGTGGTAACAGAAGTAGAAGCAGAAGGTGGTAGCATCGTCCTTGTCGGACTAGGAGCAAGAGCAGGAGCAGGGGTAGGAGTAGGAGTGGAGGAAAGTAGGAGCAGTACTGCTATTAATTGCAGTTACAACAGCCCTAAACCCCAAACCCGGCCACCAACACCGCCGGAAGACCCCGGACCCCCCGGAACGAGGGCCCAGACGCGCGCCCGGCCCGGCCACCTGCCGACTGACAGCTTCTCGACTTGTTTTCTTGCTCTGCAATCTTACGTAGGCTTTTCTGAGTAGTGGGTTTTTGGGAATTCCACGTTAAACAGTGTCTTTCGGAGGTTTCAAACTAAAGGGCTTAGTAGAGTCCTTTATAAAGTGAGGGTCGAGGGTTTACGGTTTAGGGTTACAGGGCCCTTAAAGTGCACATACATGTCTTTACATATCTTTACATATAGTTCGCCAGTGATTTCTCTCCAATAGGGAGAGGCTTCCGGCTGTGACGTCTAGCCGAACGTCGTTTAGGGTTCAAGCTGTGCCAAGGGTTGTTTTCATATGAAGCGCATCACACATGTGTGTGCTGGACTCCCGGCCCGCTTGGCCCGTTCCCAGCCATAACTGGGTGCTCAGACACTGAAGATGCCCGGCAGCCTTTACACCCGCACTGGCCAAACAATGGGTGGAGCCTATGGAGAATGGTCGAAGGCAGCCCTGTCTGGGCTGGCCCTCGCCACCAGCCTCCAAGAGGGGCTCCCGGGCCCCCCAAGCATTTTGCCCTGCGCTGCCCTGCCCTGCCCTACCCTGCCCTGCCCTACCCTGCCCTGCCGCCGCCCTGGCTGCCTGCCCTGCCCTGCCTGCCGCCGCCCTACCTGCCCTGCCTGCCCTCCTGCCCTGTTTTGCCCTGCCCTGCCCCGCGAAAAAAGTCGTTGTGTTCTTCCATGTATATCAAAGTGTGGGAACTGAGGGCATGAGCCCTAAACCCTAACAGGAAATGGTTTGGGTGGTTGCCTGTGGTATCATCACAGCGGGCGGGAAAAAAAGAACTTCCGGCTGCACCGAGTTCTGCCACAAAATACAAGAACGCTTGACGCGATGTACGCTGCCACCCACAAACCCTGGTGTGAGGTGGCGCCATCTCAGCATGGATTATCGCCCCCTGCGCGAGAAGACGCGCTAAAGCCTAAACCCTAAACTCTAAACTCGGAGGAAAAGAACCTTTCAACACAAAACAGAGCAGCCCGTCTCTAGGATGGCGCGCCCCCGAGAGCGCGAGGAGCTCCAGCCGCTTGAAGCAAGAAGCAGGGGCTTGGGCTTTTGCCATACGTTGAGCTTAAGGGTCCCTTTAAGGGATCTATAAGGGGAACTATATGGGTTAGGGTTTAGGGTATAAGAGGTATTGAAAGTAAGTACCACCTGCATCATATATCACCTTAAACCCTAAACCCTTAAACCCCTAAACCCCCAAACCCTAAACCCTAAACCCTTTATACGATCCCGAGTTTCGCAGATCCTCAGAAAGCTTGCAAAGCCTCCGTTTCAGAACGCTCAGGTCGGGGGCACCGCCATCGCAGCCCTCACGGTGCGTGGCACGGGTACAATCCCAGAGACTCCAAAACCCCTTAATTAAGGTATAATAGGAACCCAAATAAGATTTAAGTTATATTCCTTAATTAAGGGGTTTTGGAGTCTCTAAGATCTTGAGGTTTGAAGGTGCTTGACGGATCTGGCGATTTGGGGGTTTAGGGTTCAGGGTGTAGGGTCAGGGGTTTAGGGGTTTAGGGGTGTAGGGGTTTGGGGGTTTGGGGGTTTAGGGGTTTAGGGGTTTAGGGTTTAGGGTTTAGGGGTTTAGGGGTTCAGGGGTTCAGGGGTTTAGGGTACCTCAGTCCCCTGATCCACGCTGTCGGACCGAGGTTTTGCGCTTTGCTTTGCTGGGGTCTCGGAGATTCCTTGCAGAGCCGAACCAGACCCCAAACTCCGAATCCGGCGTGCGAAACCAGAACAAAAACCTCAATTTCGGGGGTTTAGGGGTTAGGGTTTAGGGGTTTAGGGTGCAGGGCTTTAGGGTTTAGGGTTTAGGGAACCTAGACCCTCAAGCCTCAACCCTAAGCCCTAAATTCCTAAACCCCGACCCCACCTAAACCCTCAACCCTAAACCCTAAGCCCTAAACCCCCTGAGCCCCCCACCCCTAAAGCCCCCCCGAAAAGGGGAGCTGCGATCTGCTCAGGTCGACGGCGGTCCCGTTCTCGCAGACGTCGGCGGCGAGGCCGAGATTCTTAGAGTCCTGTAGGGTTTTTGTTTGTAAATGCGGGTTTCTACATATGGGGTTCAGGGTTTAGGGGTTTAGGGTTTTAGGGTTTAGGGTTTCATAGGGTCGAATCTCATTATCAGGGCGCTTTGTCGGCGTTCGTGGTTATTCTGGAGTTTCTTGAAGGGTTGCTCTCCGGGCTTTGAAGGGTTCTACAAGGGATCTATAGGGCTTTAGGGTATAACTAGGGTCCTGGATCATGAGACTAGGGTTTTGGGTAAGATCAAATTGTAATCACAATAAGGGGCTCAAAACTCATTTAGGGCTTTAGGGCTTTAGGTTTAGGGTTTAGGGTAGATTACTAATTACTACATTTTCAGGCACCTACGGCCTGCCCTTCGGTCTCACCTTGAAGTGTTGAGCGTACCCGATACCTTGTAGGCCCTGGGCCCTGAACTCAAAAGCTGCCAAAGTGCGACCACGCCCCAAAAGCCACGCCCCAAGCGGGTTTAGGGTGTAGGGTTTGGGGAGTTCAGGGTTTAGGGTCCCAAGCTCCAATGCCCAAACTTTAAGCCGCGCAGGTGTTGGTGTGTCTGTCTGTTTGCCGAGAGGTCTCTCTTGCGAACATTTTTAGGATCCTTGGACCCACCTCCAGGTAGATTGCTCCCGGCATAAGAGAACTCCGAAGCCGCAAGAGTTGATATCCAAGCCTAAACCCCGGCGCCGCCAAAGGCATGTTGAGCAACACATGTCTACCTGAGCCCTGAACTCTGAACCCTGGACCCTGGACCCTTAACCGCCTTAACCTAAGCCCGGAAACTGTGAGCTAATTTGTAGCCTCTGGGTCATGAGTCCAGCTACGATCAGACAAAGGCTATCTTACGGCTGTCCGAAGATTACCCCTAGGGTTCAAATTCAAGCACGTCGGCTTTGGGTCTGGGAGTAGATCTGGGGGTTTAGGGTTTTAGGTTCAGGGTTTAGGGGTTAAGGTTTCAGGTTCAGTGCCCACCTCCCGGAACTTGGGAATCGGAACGGGCTAGCTCAGAGACGCTTTGCCGTGCTTTCCTTGCTGTGGATATTTGGGCGGCTCCACCCGAAGCAAGATGAAGCCTTGTCGCAAAGTGTCCGGATCAGAGCCCCAGCTGCTTCAGAGTGAAGCACCATCGGCACAAAACCGTCGCGGCATGTGGAAGACCCTCTCTCTGGCGCTCCTCTGCACCGCAGCTGGTGACGAGTTCCTGAGCCGCAAAGGGGCCACGAGGGCCAGGTGCCTCCTCCAAGGCTGGGCGAACGACGCGTGCCCTGGCGCAAGTCTTAGCGAAGTTAAGAAGAGGCACTAGTCCGACGAATTTTGGTTTTTCTCATGGACATTTTTATGGCAGATCCAGAAGGCTAAGCCCGCCAGGTACAGCTGGCTTGGGGTTTTGGGCATAGGGATTAGGGTTGAGTGTTTTGGATCTGGTCTGCACCGTAGAGGACCAGCAACACAGCACATTATTGTAAAAGAGGCCAAGCTCTGGAAACCGTCGTTGTCAACCCAGGCAAGCGAAGGACCTTGTGAATGTGGCCCAGGATTGCTTCACACCGCAGACGAGCCCTGGATGATTGTGAGCTTGCCATGCAGTGCTCTCTTGAACCCCATAAGCCCTGACAGCACTTCCGTGGATTATTCAATGAATGCGGTCAGCATCTAAGCGGTGCTTGGTCTTCCCTATGTGGTTCTCTGCGACTCTTCTAACACTGAGCCCAAACTCAACCAAAGTAAAGACAGTACCACGATGCAGAGATTCCGAGTGGCCACCCAGGCAAAGGGCTCCATGCACCCCATTTTCAATAGAGGCCTTGGTGGGGTTTCCATGGGATGCGATAGAGTTGTACAGCTGAACCGCAACAAACACCAGACCCTAAGAACCAAACTCTAAAGCCCACCCTAAACCCTGAACCTGAGACCCTAAACTTTCCTAGCTCCGAAAAGCCTAGGGCAGCAAGCAGCTCTAGCTCAAAAGCGAGATGCCTGGAGTGCGGTCTGAGCGCTGCCACCGGCTGCGTGGTAAGAAAACTGAATCGGCTCTGGGGTTGGAGACCGGTGCCTTGGCCCTTGACATGTTGAACGGGTTCAGGAGTTTAAAGTTCTTCCTGGGTCCAGTACATATATGAGCTGGGATAAAACTTACCCTAGCAGGCACTTGTCCAGATGGCAAATGCCAGCGGTGACCAGCAACGCGATAGGTGACGCCATAAAGACGATGTCCTCAATTCAGCAATGTTACCATTATAACCTCTCTTGTTGCGTTCAAGAGAGGTTTTCGGGAGTTTAGGGTTTGGTAAGGGTGTCGAGGTTTTTCGGGGTGGAAGTTTTGGAAATGAGACGTCCCCAAGTCGGACAGATACGCGAAGGATACCCAAAATGTAGCCCCGGGTGGCCTTAGATGGGCCCCTTGTCCTCGTACCGTCTCAGTACAGCAAAGGAAGTGCAAAACCCAAAAGATCCAAGGACCTCAAAAGGCCCCAAAGGCAGACGCCCTGCAATGATATATACTGTATCTCATTACTCTAAAGTAGTGTATCGTTTGTTCCAATATATTATGTATATATATACACATATATATATACACATATATATATATATACATATATATATATATACATACACATACACATAAATACCAACAACCTGCATTAATCTCCTCGACAAGAGCCCAGGAGCTAGCGGGCTCTGGTTCGAACACTGGGGGTCCTTACGATGTCCTAGACGCGGGCATCACCCTGGTGGGGGTGGAGACGCCTTCCGGAAGCTGGCAGTTCATGCTGCGGAAGCCGCAAGGGGCAGGCCAAGGCAGAGGCGGCAGAGGCTCTGAGCCTGGTTCCTCCCATGCCGTAGATGTGCAGAGCCATCACCGTGGCGATGCTAGCGAGCAACAGGAAGCAGATCTCATCCGCTTCACTGAGTCCTGCTTCAGCAACACGAAGACTGACCTGGACACTTCCGACCCTGACAGCTTGAAGATGACTTTGGGCAACAGCGTGGACTGCGTGCTTCAGAAATGCCTCGAGGCCTGGGGCTTTAAGCCGAAAGAATCCGTTTATGGTTCAGATACCGGTGGCCCCCATGCTTACAGCCTCGGTGCTACGGTGATCGGGGTAGAATCCCCATCAGGCAAATGGGACGTCGTGTTGCATCTGAAGTAGTCTTAGGCTCGGCAAGGAGCGGTGCCATCTAATGCAGATGTACAGCTAAGGGAGCAGAAAACATGCTGGTGCAAAGCTTTTGTTCAGTCGCCCTGTTTTAGACTGAGGGCGAGTGTGGGTGCTTAGCAAAGGCAGGACCCCAAGTGTACATTATTCAACATCTTTTGGCCACCGATGCCGATGCATCGCGTCCAGCCTGCCCCCGTGCGTCAGCCGCATGCCGCTGCAAAAGTGTTCAGGCCTATTTGTGGGTTTTGCTTGTGGGTGGCCAGGCAAGGCTTTGAAAAGTTTTGCTCTTCGCTCTTGGGGCTTGGGGGTTCCATGCTGGGGGACACCGTGTAAAAGCTTCTCGGGTCTCAAAGCCCAAAGCCCTGCAGAGGCAGAGGGGGCGGACAGCAGCAGCAGCTGCATAGTAGTGATGGTATGACCAGTCTTACTATCAGTCTTAGCATTAGTAGTAACAGAAGAAGACGAAGGAAGAGTTGCAAAGTTAGAAGTCGTTGTCCACTCGTCGTCTGACTGCCAGCATCAACATCAGAAGAGCAAAGCCATACGAGCTTTCCCTGCCGCTGCAGGCCGTTCCACGTCCGACTATTCGCTCAGCGCGTCTCCCCCCCCAGGAGATTCGGGTTCACTGCTTGGGCCGTAGGGTTTAGGTTTTGGGGTTTAGGGCTTGAGGGGACCAGGGCCTTAAACTTCCTGGGTGGCTCCTTGATTCTGGTTTGCGAACCTTCCGAACAAATTTCGCTTCAATCACGGAATCCTTGCCGCAGTTGATCCTGGACTTGTTTGCGAACTCACGGTAACCCGAAACCGCTGAACCCTAAACAGAGCTTGAAATGAACATAAGTATCCCCTTATAGCCTCCACACAGCTACCTTAAACCTTAGACCCTACACCCGAAACCCTGAACCTCTCTCTATTCTGCTCAATAAGGCCCCTTGGGAGGTTCCGGAGGTGAGGGCTCTTTCTTGAGACTTGAGGCTGCGGCAGGTTACCCTTGGGTTTAGGGCTTAGGGCTCAGGGCGGAGGGCCCTAGGGTGCAGAGCTCAGGGCCTTCGCACCCCCGCAGATCTCCTGACGTCACGTCGAAAATTAAAAGCAGTTCCACCTGGAAAGGAATCAAGCTAAAGCGTCAACCTGCTATGATTGGCCCAATGTGCTCTAGGATGCGAGGCCATCAAACCTGTGCTGCGATGGGTTTGCAGACAACACCGGATTAAAGAGTCTGACAATTCCGGTTGTGGCTCAAGCTGCCCCCCGGTTTCATGTGCAAGGACTCCACCCGGCCTCCCTACTCAACCCAAGGCAGAGGTTGCCCGGAGAGGAGTGCAAAATTGAGCTTTTGAGAGACCAATATTGTTATCACACCATATCATATCATATCATATCACATCATATATAACAATCCTTTACAAGCTAATACAACAATGACCTCAAAAGGGCATTTTACAAGCTGCTTCGTTTCACTTTGTTTTGCTGAAGCCACGAGACCCAAAGATCTTGAAACCACCCCGCGGAGTTTTCCTGTGGCCATGCTGAGCTGCACGCCTTATGGCGGCTGTGGCTCCATCCATTGATGTACATAGGCCGGGTGATGCTGTTCAAGCAATCGTTTCCCTGCTTCTCGGGAGGGTTCAAGATTGTTGACTTCTGGCGCCATAGGGCACTGAAGCAAGTTTCTACAAGCATCCTACAATTTTGTTGGACTTCCTTTTCTGGTCTGTCGAGCTCCGTGTAGCAGTGTGGCTGCAACGTCGGCAGCCAGTACGAGCCTTTGGGCTCAGAGTCGAGGCTCTCCGGAGTCGCGAGGTACCCTAAAATAGAGCCCTAAGGCCTAAGCCCTAAACCCTAAACCCTAAGCCCTAGGCCCTAAGCCCTAAACCCCTAAACCCAAAACCCCAAAACCCTAAGCCCTAAAACCTAAACCCATGTTGCTGAGCTCCTGCCTGCTCTTGGGCTTCTTCGAAGTTTCATCTCACGGGCCCCTCTACTTGGAGGGTCATGTGACTTAGTAAGCAAGGCTATAAGGGCCCCTTCAAGGGATCTGTAGGGCTACTATGAGGGTTTAGGCTTTAGGGTACTTCGAGGGTCACAGGACTTAGTAAGTATGGTTATCGGTACCATATCTGCGGCTGTAAGTGCTTGTAACTATGGTTTCCATCCTTGCTAGCCCCAGTTCCTAAGTCCCATGATCCTGTAAGTAGGGGAAGATTGGAAATCCTGTCTGTTTAGGTGTTTGGCCAGAGTACCAGCTGGCCAAGTTCGTGGCAGAGGCAAAGCCTTCTGAAACCAATGGACGAGGCCTCCTTCGGGTTTCGCGATTTCAAGATTCCTGTTGTTATCATGGCTTTCGGATCCTTCCTTCTAGTTACCGTTGTCATGGCGATCCTTGCTGGCAGAACTGTGGTCGGTGAGCATGGCAATTATAAAGATGACACCATAGAAGTGGCATCCGGCATCCGCGGATAATTCTGTTAGTATTGATAGTAAAGGCAATGGTTCCGCCGTTCATCATGCAGCAATAGTGGAATGCGCTACGTCTAAAAATAGTAACTAAGAAAGGGAAGCGTGAGGGTAATGATGAGAATGCAGGTTCTGCTAAGATTGATAGTAGCAACATTCAAGACATGAATGGTAATCACGATCATGGGAATAGGAGTGTACCTCATCAGAATGATGACGACGGTAACGGCGTTTAGTGGGACTCATCGCAGTAATGAGATGCTGATGAAAATGGTTGTGATGTGAACTTCCTAAACTCGAACATCTACAGCCAAAGCCCCCCAGCCCGAAACTCCTCTAAGCCCCGAGCCCAAGCCTCCCTCGGATAACCTTTCGATCTTGAGCTGAGACGCTTTAGGATGGCTTTAAGGGGTGCTGCGGGTCCAGGCTCGCGTTGGAACAGCTTGCAAGATTGTGTAGGGCTTCTGAACAGTTTCAGACGGGTTTCATGCGATTTTGTGGCTTGAGGGGTGTCGAAAGGTTTCAATCAAGGTTTGCATTGGTCATAAGGACGGTTAGACTAAAAATAGCCCCGTTTAGGGTATTTACAGCTCAACTTAGATCTGTCTCACTAAGTTTGCGGAGCCTTCAAGTACTGCGTCCTGCGTGCTACCATGCACGATAAACCCCAAACCCCAAACCCTTAAACGCTGAGATGCTCGGCTACGAACAACGCGAACAACGCCGTCCATTGCATCCCACTCGATATCACTGCCTGTTGCAAGCGACCGTGTGTGCATACCGTTGCTTTGCATCACATGGAATTGCTCTGCCGTCCACCTGCACCATGTCACATGCAGTTGCCCCGACGCATACAGCAGAGGACGGTCTTATGTGTGTACCGCTCTGAGTCTGCAGTGTGCGTTGTTTTGGGGACCTCTTAGGACCCTGCTGCAGCGTACCCATGGGTTCGAAATACCCCCATCAAACCATCATTTACAATCCCTAAACTCTAAACCCTAAACGAAGCACTTGGGCTCTAATGGCTGCGTTGGAGTGTTTGCCTCTTGGCGCCTCAGAAGCCTCGCGAAGGTGGCAGCAAGGAGCCCGAACAGAAGGCGACATCTGTGGACCCGTGGTGATTCGGCTGCATCCATGAGGCTTGAAACACCGAGAAACCCTAGACAACCTTCAACAAACCTTTTCAACCCTCCAGACTCTAGAATCCTACAAGGCCCCAAAAGACCCTAAAGAACTTTGTGAAATCCTACAACAACCTATTGGAACCCTAACAAGGTCCCCTTAAACCCTAAACCCTGAAC